CTGATTTCATTTTTTCCAGATCCTCTTTTGTTGCCAGTTCAGGGAGTCCAGGTGGTTGAGTATCAGAGTGTTCCATCTCATTTCCCTTTGAGGTTGCTGTAGGTGATCTGGAAGTCTATTTTTGAGACTTGTTAATGTGTCTTCTCATGGGGGGGGGTGCTGTTGACTCCTGTGAGGCTCACCTCCTATGAGCTGGGAGCAGTGGAACAGCAGCCTGAAAGCCCTTACCTCTGGGCTGGCTGTGGTGGAAGGGAGGCCCAGAAGCCCCTTCTTCTGCACTGGGAGCGGTGGAACCTTGGCCCAGAATCCCCTCTGTCTGGGCTGGGAGTGGTGGAATGGCAGCCTGGAAGCCCCTTCCTCTGGGCTGGGAGCAGTTGAACGGTGGCCCAGAAGCTCCTTCCTCTGGGCTGCAAAACAGCTTTTCAACTGTAACAGTTGCCAGGGACCCCAGAGTTTATCCTTAGCTCTGCATTAAATAAATTATATGGTCTTGGGTAAAACTGTTAAAAGCCTCAAGTTAAGCATATAAAAGATGTGAATGTTGGTACCTGCTCTTTATGCATTTTTTTTTGCTATGGAGACCAACAGGCCTAATGAGGAGGTGGTATGCTCTGAATGAGAGGCAAGGGTTCTGGGCTTAGTTACATCTTTCACCATTCTACCACTGTTCACTGATCAGGGATAGCCTTGCACAGGCTCCCAGACATGTCTTCAAATGTCTTCTCTCTCCCTCTAGAGTTTCTTGGCTTCCAGATCCTGGCTTCCCTTATGCACTGCTACCAACTGTCCTACCACATGGCAGGCTGCATCTCAGTCACATGCTCTCAGTCACATGCTCATCCCCCAGCAGATAGATCAACCTCTCAGTCCTTTAGTTCCAACAAGCCTACTCTTTCTTACTCAATGACTGTGCTTCTCATTGCTCAGAAAAAGGGGCAGAGAGTCAAGAAGGCCCTCTGATTCTCTCTCCATAGCTTATCTGCACTGTAGCCATATTAAAATGGCCCCTTCCTGGCAACTGCCAATGTCTCCACTTAGGATCTTCATGCCCTGAGACTTCATCAGGGACCTCACCTCATCACTTCTCCTTTCTCACTGCTGCAGCTTTACTCTTCCCTTTGCTAATAGTCCCTTCTTAGGTCACAACAGAGCTTTGGCCATGGATTTGTGTCTCTGTGGGAACATGTTGGGGGCTTGAACTCTGAACAGGGCAGGGGAAAAAACTCTGGGGGAGCACAAAAATGGTACAGGTGTGAGCCTTAGAAAGGCTTCAAGGATAAGGTATTGAGGACTACACAGACTTGCAAGCATGTTGCTGGAGACCATAGGGGTTCTTGGATTGTCCAAACTGTCACCTTTCTCCAGTAAACTTTGTCCTTCCTTTCTCCATCCCTTCCCTTGACTTCTACACCCAACCCCTATATTGAATTCTAAAAGTTCATGGCAAAATCCTAGTCTTTTTAGGAAAACAAAATTTTACTGTTAAACCACAGATAGTTGAATAAGTGTTTGAATTACAAACAACTGGAAACTGTTCCTGTTCCACAGAGCTGGTGATCTCCCTGCAGATTCGATCTGATGAATGTTACCAGTATTGCAACTAGATAGTCTTGGTGAAGTAGGAGATTAGGGATGGAACAAAACCAGTCAAACAACCGGGTGGAATCTGTCAAAGTCATGCAGACCCAGGACACATTAGAAGAACAGAGGATACAGGAGACTGCAGTTCCTGAGCACTGTATACAGAACCAATCAGAAAAATGCTATTTTTCAATTTTTCATTTATATCTGACGTGAAGCCAAGTGAGCCCTTGTTAGGACTGTTTAAACCTGGTGGCAGGCCAACTGAGTTGTTGATAGGACAACTGTCCCATTGTCATATTTGCAAGAGGGAGAAGCCAACCCAGGAATTCCAGACACAGAAGACCCCTTTCCCTTATCCTCGCCGTCGTCGTGAGTCTGTTCACCAGCCCACTCTCTGCAGAGCACACTTTTTTCCCCCCACCTTCAATAAATGTACATCCCTGCTACCTTTTCTTTGTGTTTGTCCAATTCTTTGTTTAGGACACGAAAATCTGGAAAGAATTTACATGGAACCCATCATCTGGTAACTCGGCTTCCGCCAGGTGCTCTGTTCCAGCTCCCGCCTCTGCCCCTCGCTGTGGGGCTGCCACTCAGTGGGCTCAGGAGTTAGGCTGGGGAGCGGGGGCGTGCGTGCGTGCGTGCGTGCGTGCGTGCGTGCGTGTGTGTGTGTATGTAAAAGTTTGAAGAAGTTCAACAGGCAGCTGGATTTAAACCTGGGGATGGAAGAAATGGTCTGAACTTTGAGTCTGTGCACACAGAAATACAAACACCTGCTGCACGTGAATAAGCAGTTTAGAAAAAAATCTCTAAGGACAAAAGGGGCCGTCCATGCTGGCGCACCCTGCAGTTCCAGGACTCTGAGAAGTTGAGGCAGGAGGATCACAAGTTTAAGCCCAGCCTGGGAAATTTAGCGACTTTGGGACACCCTGTCTCAAAAGTAAAAAAACTTAAAACCTCAAAAGGAGAGGGAGGGCGGAGTTTAGAAGGCTTCCGGTGCTCTCCGCTTCACCAGACTACATATCCCAGAATGCCACACAAACTGAGCATGAACCGGAGGTTGATCACGTCCATTTCCGGCGCAAGCGGCCTCAAATGGTCATGGCGGCCCTCAAAGCTCCGAAGTTGCTGTGGAGGTTCTTGATAGGTTCTCGAGGCATGGAGCCAGTCTGTATCTGGACCCGAACCCAGCTTCATCCGGATACTCTGTTCCAGCTGCTGCCTCTGCCCCTCGCTGTAGGGCTGCCACGCCGTCGGCTCAGCTCCAGGACCGGTAAGTGACTTGTCCGACAGCCGCTGCGTCGTTCTCCTTGAAGGCCTAGAAGCTCTTTTTAGCTAGCGAAAACCACGTGGCGGCCCCTCTTGCTCTCCCCTCTGTGCAGTCTAAAACCAGTCAGCTTCAGTCTGTACCTGCAGAGTGTGTCGTCGCCCTCGTTTAAGCGTTCGCTCAGGTTCTAAGCTCCGTTCCTTGGAAAGCGCTGGGCTAAGCTTAGGGGGTACAGTGTGCTAAGGCTGAAAAGGATCCTCCTCTGAGGGAATGCGAAGCCCAAGGGGAACCAGCAGTTAATTGGTACTCTGGCAGTGTTGGGGGACGCACATATGAGAGGAAGGGTGGAAGGGCGGGAGGGGCTTCCTGAAAGACAAGACCAAAGCTGACCCCTGGCTTAACTAGGCTAAAGGAGAACACAAGAGTCATTCCGAGTAGAGGGGATAACATATGCAAGAGTCCGGGAAAAGACTGAACACAGTTATTTTGGGGGTAGGATTGATAAGGCATGATTATGAAGGCCTGTTTCCCAAGTCTCTGGCTTGAGCAGTTGAATGGAGGCTAGTCCCATTTGTACCAAACTGGAGAAAATTGTAGGAACAGTGGGGTGGGGGGTGGGGGTGATGCCAGAGTAGATGAAGTGCGGAGATGGGAAGGGAGGCAGAATTAAACCCGTTTTAGACATACTAAATTTAAATGCCTTTAAGAGCGTAGTATTCCATATACAGTTAAATATAAATTGAGGAAATCAGAGTAAAAATAGTAACTAAAGTTGGGTGAGTAGATGAGATTGGGGAGAGAGTAGTCCTGAGCACCTACAATGTGCTGGACACTCTTAAGAGACCCTGGGTGCCAGAGATGAGACAGGGTTCTGGTATTTAGAGACCACATCATTTAGTGGGGGAACACAGTGAAGCAAGCAGACCACCTTAGTATTTTTCTAAATGATGTTGGAAGTCATTGGTGACTTCTAAACATGGTATCATCTTGTTTACATTTTTAAAGAGATTACTCTTAAGTAATCTATGTGGAGAATGTTTTGTAGTGGGGTCAGAAAGGAGGCAATGAAGCTAGGCAAGAGTGGTCTTGATTAGAGAAGTGGCAGTAGGAAAGGGAGGATTACAAAGATTAGAGGGATATAGGAGGTTGTGTGTTCTGTGTTGTCCTTTTCTTTTTGTAATATGGGGCTCATGGTAGTATTTGCTTGATAGGGTTGTTGTGAGCATGAAATGTACTCAGTATGTACTTAGCTTAGTAAGTCCTGGCATGTAGAAAATATCTAATAAATGTTGAGGGTTGTCACTATTGTCATTTTTACTCCTGCTCTTGGCTGGACATGGTGGGTAAGGTTAAGTCAGGAATGACTATAAGGTTTCTGGCCTGCATGACCTAGTAGATGGTGCTGAAATAGGGAACAATAGGAAAGAGATTTGAGACAAGAGAAAGTTGATGAGTTCTGATTTGGCCATACTGAATGAAGTACAGTGAGATGTTCATTAATTGGGTGAAAGATAGTCTGAGCTGGAGGTTCAGATTTCAGTCTCCAGCATATCAGGTAATTAAAGTCATAGAAGGCAAAGGGATCATCCAGTGACAACATGAAAAGAGAGAAAAGGACATAGTTTGGAATCCGGTAAGACACCAATATTTACAGGACAAGCAAGGGAAGAGGTGACTGGAAGCAAATGTGTTTGTTTTTTTTCTTTTTTCGTAATGGAAGTGGAGGTAGAAATGATTTAAAGGAATAGGCAGATTGTATGAGGCAGAACTGAAATAAGATTGGAAGTGATTGAGGCTTTAGAACCACACAAACCTTGTTAAACATAGCTCTGTCCCTTAATAGCTGGTTGTCTTTGAGTCAGCATTAGCATCCTCATTTACAGAATTAGGGTATCAATACCTGTTTTGTAGTTTATTATATGCATTCCTGAAAATGTGTGTTATACTGACTTAAATTTGAGGGCTTAGGGTGTAGCTCAGTAGTAGAGCACTTGCCTATTGTGCACAGGCCCAGGGTTCCATACCCCACACTGTAGAACCAACCAGCCAGTCCCCCCAAAACAAACAGAAACAAAACAAACTCTACAAAATAGGAGACAAGTCTGTAAATGGTAACAGTCATTACTATTACATTAGTTTTTTCTGTTGCTTCCAATAGTAGACTGTCTTTTTGGCAGAGACTGTCCTCATAGTGAATGTTCAAATATTTTGTTTATTTAATTATTTATTTATTATTATTTTTTTGAAACAGTCCTTGCTATGTAGGTCAGACTGGCTTTGAACTCATGGCAGTCTTCCTGCCTCAGCCTCCAGAGTACTGGGTAGCAGACATGCACCACCATGCCTGGCTTGTTCAGTAAATTTTAAATGAAGTTGAATGAATGAATCTCATAGGTGTTAGCATTATGCAGTTTGAAGTAGACATTGTACTTATGGTTTTAACTGATAACTTACTTTTCTATTTAGAGGTCTTGTTGGCTTGTCATTTTTGCTAGCTTCTTATTTACTAAAATCTATTTTAGCAGAATCTGGTACCTCAGAGATGAAGAAACCTACATTTATAGATAAAGAAGTCCAAAGCATCCTTATCAAGATGACAGGATTGAACTTGGAGAAGATTTTTAAGCCAGCTGTACAAGAGCTGAAGCCACCAACCTATAAGCTAATGACTCAGGCACAGTTGGAAGAGGTATATAAACACAGGAATATTGGTAGAATATCTTTCATTAAAGGCTTAAACAAGATTTGCAGAGGCTGCTGCAGATGCTTATAGCTTTCTTCTACAGGCACCTATGAGGTAGACTAATGGCACAGAACTGAGAAATGAAATGTGAGTAGGCAGGCAGTTAGGGACCAGGAGCATGACCAGAACTGAGTTGACTGGGGTATATGAGCCTGGCCTGGATGTTCAAAGTAGAGGCTCCTCTCTGGTCTCAAATTACCTGAGCATCCTTCCTTTTTCTTGCCTGTTCCAACTTCTTTCCTATGGAAACACCACTGTGAGCTACCTTGGGGGCTGAAACTTTAGTGAAAGTATGAAATCATGTTGAACAGCTTCCTATTCCAGGCACCAGTACTTCCTGGAGCCATGGGTACTGAGTCTTTTGTGGTCTACACTTTGATGTATGAATATGTGAAACATTAACAGTCTTTCTAATTCAAGAGTAATTTATAGTCATAGCGAAAAAATCAAGTAGCCAAGTATATCATGTGAAGCATGAAAGTTCCCTTTTCAATCAGAGGTAGCCATTGGTAGTAATGTGGTTTGGGTCAGTGTGGCCAGTAGTTAAGAGCGTGGGCTCTGAATTTGGGTTGCTGAGGTTCAAATCCTAGTGCTGCAGCTTCATAGCAACTTTCTTACACCTGTGTGCTTCTGTTTTCTCTTTCATGAAATGGAGATTACAGTGGCACCTACCTCATAAAGTTGGTAGGGGTATTAAGTGAGCAAATATGTTTGTTCAGAGTATTTGAACAATATCTAGCACATAGTAACCAACCAGTAAATACAATTCTTTATTTCAAGCAGATTTTGTAGTCTCACACTGTCTCCCAGCATTCCAGAGGTTTTTTGGGGGGTTTTTTTGGTACCAGGAATCGAACTCAGGACCTTGCATTTGCAAGGCAGGCATGGTGCCACTGAACTAAATCTCTGGCCCTCCAGTGTTGTTTTGATAATGATTAAGCCTGTAGCTGGTGTTCTCAGCCATACCACGGGCAAAGGCTGGGACCCACGAGTCCAAGTTTGGCTTCTCACTCACTGATTGTTAGCTATAACTTCTTTTCCTTGCAGTCTTTAAGACATTTTTGATGAATGTCTGTTTTTATCAAATGATTCTTTTGGTCTATAAGCTTGTGACTTTGTTTAAGAAATATTTTATTTTATTAGGCTACCAGAAAGGCAGTTGAAGCAGCTAAAGTTCGATTAAAAATGCCACCAGTTCTGGAAGAACGAGCACCAATAAATGATGTGTTAGCAGAAGATAAGATTTTGGAAGGGACAGAAACAGCCAAATATGTGTTTACTGATATATCATATGCCATACCACACCGGGTGAGTATATGTCTAAATGCAAAATGATCTGTGTTTGAAATTCATGTGGAGATGAGTCTGAGGGATTTTGTAGTGGGGTCAGAAAGACCTGGCTGTGTGTGATGCTGCTAAACCAGAATTCCTGTGATTGCACGAGATCCTTCTGGAAGATACGGTATAAGGAGGATGAGAGATGCATACCAGCCTCACATCTTGATATTACCGTTTCCCTACAGATTGTGAACTCAGGGTATTTTAGATTGGCTGTAAGGAGACAGATGTGCTTAGAGAGAACAAGGCATATCCAGTCAGAAATCCACTCCCCAAATCATAAATAGACAAAAATCTACAAGGTAGCAGGAGGAGGAAATTCTTGTTACCTAAGTTGTAGTGGTTCCTTTGCTGAAATATTTTGAGAAGATGGTGTTTAATCCTGTATATTCCTTGATGGTGCCAAGAAATTCAGACATCCTAGTGGATTTTCACTTTACAGAATTTTCAGTAAGAGTGATTTGATTGCCTTTTTTTTTTGGTACTGGGGATCGAACCCGGGACCTTGCACTTGCAAGGCAGGCGGTGGAACCACTGACCTAAATCCCCAGCCCCCGATTGCCAATTTTAAAGAACACTTTGGCATTTAAAGAATGTTTCAGTTTTATGTATGAGCCTTACAAATAAAGAATAAAAAGAGTAATTTAAAGTTCAGCCAACAAAATGCATTAGAATACTACAGAATACTGAGTGGGAGAAGGGTGACCCCCATATTAACCACTCTAATCGTATATGATTATAGTTAGAAAACATGAATTTAGTTATGCCTATTCCTGTACCAGTCCTCTGCACACCTGGCATGAACAAGGATCACAGAGTTTTCATTTTAATTAGAAAGTTTTCTTTAAGTAGAATTTTAGTTAATTTTTGTGCTTTATTTTGTATTTGTGATGCTATAAAGGCCGATTATAGGAGCATTTTGGTAGCTTGAAAGAGAAAGAAACTTAGAATTCTGGTTTCTCAAATCACCAAAATCTTTTTGAGGAAGAATTTTTATATCTTTTTTGTGTGTGTGTTTGCAGTGGTTGCTGAGTTATTTTCTCCTCAGAACTCTTACAATTCTGAAGTAGAACATACTATTTGTTTAATTTATAAATTAATCAGGGGTGTATCAATTATCAGCAGTGTGCAAAGTTCTGTGTATGTCTTTCTAACTCTAGGTGTTAAAAAGAATTATCCACATTTCCTTCCCCTTTTCACTTGTATAACAACATGTGAGAAATGTTAAGAATCTTGCACATAATAAATTGCCATATGAATGGTACAAATATTGGTTTAAATTCAGAGGAAGAAGTGTTTCAGTGGCCTGGGATTTGGCATTTGGAAGAGTGAAGAGATCAGAGGTCTCTGACCGGACCAGCCAGTCTGATAGATTTATGTCCAGTGTCAATATGAGAAATCACAGAGGTGCAGAATTAAGACTGCACATTCTTGAGTGTGTTCCTGTTATCCTGAAAAATGTAGGTCATAAAGTGGTAAGATCTGTTTAAGTGAGACTATGGGTTAGGGAAATGAAATAACTTGAAACAGCCATCTTCTGTTTTCTAAAATGGATTCAGATGAATCTCAGATCAGTTTTAGTTTGATCATTTTATGTATTAAACCCACATTAATACCATAGTTGGTGCTCACTAAATTTTAGGTTTCTGATGATCAGAGGGATGATAGTGAATGAAGTGAAGTATTAAACCTTGCCAAGTCTTTTAAGGTTTACAATTATCATTGAACTCCCATACACATCATTGCATTTTGTTTCCCAGTTGCATTGTATATTGCAGATTGCAAGTTGTTATTTTAAGCAGGGATCCCCAATCCTCAGCCACCAACTGGTACAGGTCTATGACCTCTTAGCCAGGCTACACAGTAGGAGGTGAGTGGTAGATAAGTGAGAGAAACTTCATTTATGTTTACAGCCGTTCCCCATCACTTGTGTTTACTGCCTGGGCTCTGCCTCTGTCAGACTAGTGGCAACATTAAATTCTCATAGGAGCACAAACCCTACTGTGAACCGTACATGTAGAGAAGACATTAGGTTGCTGCTCCTTATGAGAATCTCATCTAATAATAATAGAAATAAAATGCATGATAAATGTAATGCACTAGACTCAGCCCAAAACCATCTCCACCTCCTCATTGCATGGAAAAATTGTCTTCCACAAAACTGGTCTCTGGCGCCAAAAAGTTTGGCAACTGAGTTTGGAGACCTCTGTAATGGACTTAGTGAAATGCAGAAATTAACATAAGTCTTCACAACTCATCCTTGACTATGTTTTTCAGGAGCGTTTTATTGTTGTAAGAGAACCAAGTGGCACACTACGCAAAGCTTCTTGGGAAGAACGGGACCGGGTGATACAAGTTTATTTCCCCAAAGAAGGTCGTAGGGTTTTACCACCAATAATTTTCAAGGAAGAAAACCTTAAGGTCAGGTGAATTGTGTTTTATATTCTAGACTCAGTGATGGTGATTTATTTGTTGAACCATTTGGGTATGGTGCTGCCTGGTGTTTTGCCTTGGTAAATACAGATAAGTATTTCTAATGGTTACATGACTTAGAGTTTCTTTTCTTGTAATTGTCTTAGGTGGGATTTGGATTCATGTGTAACCATTGCAAAGTCCATGTTGTTTCTGTATGCCTCTTGATGGGCGCACATGTGCCCTGTGTGTGGGTAGGCAGCCCTGTTACAGTGTCAGGGCAGGAGCTAAACTTTGTGTTCTTTTCATCTAATTCCATTTCTGCTGTGTGGTTTTAGACCATGTACAGCCAGGACCGGCATGCTGATGTCCTTAATCTTTGTGTTGCCCAGTTTGAGCCAGATTCTACTGAGTACATCAAGGTAAGTATATTTTACAGTTTCCGAAATACAGGTTAAAGTACAGTTATGAGCAAGATTTTTAATGTAGCACACTGAGTTTGGTTATAAACTTTGGTATAGAGTAGTGATGGCAGACCTTTTAAAGCTTTCGATGATAGCAAATAGCCTGCTGTGGCATTCATGCCATAGGTTCACCACCACCAATATAGGCAGAAGGGAAGGAAAATACCTGAAAGTTTATTGAATACAGATGTGTACGAGACACATATTTTATCCTCACAACAACCTTTAAGGATGAGGAAATTTAAGCTTGGGGAATTAAGTAGCTTACTGACAGGTGCATTGCTAGTAAGTGGTAGGGTTTGGACCAAACAATGGTAAAGCCTGTTCTCTTAATTTACCATACTAGAACAAAGTTACTACTATAGTTTGTCAAAGTGCAGTGTGTGTGTCTTAAATACCTCAGTAAGTACATATTCATTAGTACCTTTTATGTGTAAGGTATTATCACAGGTAGTAAGGTAATATCACAAACAAGGATAGGATGTGCTGTGTCAAAGGCTACAGTCCAATAATGATTGTGTGGAAGGATGCTAGATAGGTAGGCAGTAATTATCACCTTATATCTAAAATGTTAGGTGCTAAAAGGTTATAGAGTACTTTCAGGAAAGGCTTTGTAGAAGTCTTACAAAGTATTCTGGAAGAGCTAGGAACACTGTGGCAGGGGGAGTTGCCTGAAGAGAGAGAGGTGTTTCAGGTAGAACAATAAAGAGCAACAGGCAGAAAATAACCCAAGTGTGCTTGAGACATGGCCAGTGATCTGGTCTGCTTGACCATCCAATGTGTATATAGGAGAGGGTTCCAGACTAAGCTGGAAAGGTAGATGGGGCCACATCACTGGAGACCTTGATGCTAGGCTGAGGAATCAGTACTTTAGTCAGTAGGTCTTTGAAAGCCTTTTGAGCAGAGTAATACCCTCACCAGAGCCCTCATTTAGGAAGATGAGTCTGGAAGGAGAACTGAAGAAATGTCAGTAGAATGGCATGGGTGAGCTGATGGGATGGGGTAGTTGATGGGAAAAAGGAGAAGTGAAAAAAGTGGTTTCTTTTTTCCCTAGTGACCAGAAGGTGTGATAATTTATTTCCAGGGGTCTATATATATGAAATCATTGCTTGTGTTTGGGTGTTGAAAGTTTGGGTATTGATAAGGCTATAAAGGTTTGGTGTGACTTGCTTCAGGCTGCCACACACTCCTGCAGTGGGGAAGACACAGATTTGCTGTCAACTCAACAAATTCTTTTCAGATAAACCTTCCTTCCCACCTAAGGTGGGGGTGTACCAGGAGTTGTCTACAGCTTACTAAATGGCTCATTATAGTGGAGGCAGCTGTAAGTAAACCTAGTTTCACTCATACTTTCCTGGGCCAGCTCTTCTACTAGTCAAAAGTAAGTAGAGTAATGCTGCTTGCTCCCTTTGTATTTTCCTGTTTCTGAAGAGTTGCATTTTATTCGGATAGGTTCATCACCAGACCTATGAAGATATCAATAAACATGGAAAGTATGACCTTTTACGTTCAACAAGACACTTTGGTGGAATGGCTTGGTATTTTGTAAATAAGAAAAAGATTGATGGTTTGCTGATTGACCAGATTCAGAGAGATTTGTAAGTATGATCTTGGGAATCATTCTTATTGCCTTAACAGTAAGTTTGTATTTAAGGTATGGTCTTTTTTCAGTGATAAATTGAAGCTTTCACTTGCGTCATTTTGTCTGGGTTTCTCCTAGCATAATCAGTTTTCTCAGGCTTTGCTTTTATATTCACAAACAGGGTTAGTGTCTTAGTTACTTTTCTTGTTGAGACAAAAATTCCTAGTACCCAAAGTTAAAGGAGGAAAAGTTTATTGTAGCTCACAATCTGTAGTTGGCTGGCTCCAAGGCAGGGTGGCATGGCAGAGGGGCATCACAGAGGAGAAACAGTTGATGATGGCCAGAAGGCAGCAAGGCAGCTAAGTAGTGAAGAATCAGCAGCAGGCCTGCCTTCTTTCTGTCCTTTTTGTCTGTCTAGGCTACTTGTCTTTTAGGTGGTGCCACCCACACCCAGGGTAGGCCTTCCCATTATCTACATCCAGAACTGTGGCAAACTAATCAGTGGACTGATTTAGTAATCACATATCCTTAAGCTCAGCATCACACACTCTAGATCCAGCCACCTCTGAAAAGCTCCACCTGTGACCTCATGAATCTTTGGGGGGACATCAAGACACAGCCATAGCATCTAGATACTTTGAAATTCAGCTTTGGATCTGTATAGTAGAATCTGAATATTGACTTGTCCTGGGCTCACTCACCAGTGCTCTTAAGAGCAGTGAACTTTCCAGCTTTTCAAAAGGGGATGAAATAGAAACTGCACAGAAGTACATGTAAGCTTTGATGGGTGCTTGTTTGGTGGTGGAACTGTTTCTAGGGGTTTTCAGTAAAAGTCACTTAACTTACAAAAGTACTTTTGTGTTTGAGAGCCCTTGTTTTCACAAGATTTTGAAGGCATCAAAAAGTGTTTTTTTCAAAGTTGCGTGAAACAAAGATTGTGTGTTAGCATCAAGCTGATGTGCTCCCAGGTTTCTAGCTGAGACTCATATAAGCATCTCTTTCTATTGTGTTTTACAGGTATTGTAATTTTTAAAAATTCATTAGTTTTATTTGGTACATTTTAGGTATACAATGTGATGACATTCATCACTGGGAATTTGTACCTTTACATGATATATCTTGGTTATTTTTTTCTCCCTTCCCCTGCCCTCCCTTCAACCCCTCCACCCCTCCCTATTTACAGACTTTTCCATTTTTTCCTTTTCTCGTGTTTATTTCTTTCCTTCTCCCTACCCCTCCCTCTTCCCCTGTCCCTCTGGACCTTTTCTTCCTATTTCACATTATCTTTTATACATTTTGATCCTTTCACTTTCAGTTTCTCACACCAGAGAATCTATTTGGTATTTACAGGTGTGTCCTATTTATTTCACTTAAGAATATGGCCTCACTGTGCACCCATTTAGCTGTAAATGACTCTATGCATTTTTTTTTTAACAAACTGAAGGTTAGTGACAACCCTGCATAAAGCAATTTTATTGATGCTGTTTTTCAGATAGTTAGCATTTATAGCAATAACATTTTTGATAACGGCATTAAGATAAAGCATATAGAATTGAAAGGTTTCAGTTTTTCTAAGCCCACATTTGGAAACCGCATCAATTCTAGAAACAGTATTCCTAATGGTGAGGATTTCCAGGCCAGCTCTCTTCAGCACGCACTGTGTCATTCAGTTCAGAAGGCAGAAATATACCTCCATCCCCTATATGTAGGAGTGGTGATGATTCTAAAAAGTGATATGCCTTTATGTGCAGAAACAGTGCATCTCCCATAAATGAGTTTTCTACTTTAAAATTTTTTCAAATGTAATCAGATCATTCTGAACTAAAACATTATTTTTGTAAAAAAGTAGTGCAACACAGAAATGTTTGAAAGTTAAGTTATTGGGCATACTAATATGTGATATTACTCCTTGGCATGTGAAGCAGTTACTGTATATTGGAAGGGAAGTTTGAGAACTTAACCCTTCCTGCAGTATTACTGAATGGGACATTGAGCTGACTGCAGATCCCCAGCTGAACGGTAGAGAGCACCATCTTTACTGAATGGAGACAGGATTCCATATGTGGACTTCTTTCAGACTTAAGTCTCACTATTTGTTTTTCATAGGGCCACATGCCTAAGCTCTAAAGGGAGTTATTTTTATATTTTAGATTATAACAAACACAGTAGATGTGTAATGATCATTTTTGTTTTCTGCCTCTGAAAAGCCTAATACAAGCATCTCTGGATTTTCAGTTTTCCCACATGGTGGCCTTTAGGGTAGGTGGGAATTGGGATTAGCCTAGAGTATTTCGCTAATGTAATCATGGGTTAAGGAATTCAGTGTCACTCATTGTCACCCTACTCTCTATCTTCCTGTTCAGGTAATGTCAAAGTGAGGGAGATCAAAGAGTGATAGTTGAGGGTAGCACTGAATTAGGGTATCCTCACCACCTTCCTCCCCAGTTTTTATGCATTCTTCTCCCTCCAGCTGGAAAATGGTAGCAAAGTGTTCACAGTGTGAGAAGACAGTGATTGATTGGTTTGGGGAAGACTAGGAAGTTTTAATGTTGTTAGAATGTATGCATTTCTAAATAGGTAAGCACAAACCCAGAATTAAATTGTCATTCACACTTCATCAAAGTTAGGTTTGACACTAAAGTTAGATGTACTGTTGATGTATGAGAATTTGGCTTTTCTTTAGTCCGATGTGCCTAATTCAAGTTTGCTTTACCAGGATGCTAATTTTTTAACTTTGTCCCTGTGACTATGCAAGTAATGTGTCTTTTCTTGGAATTTTGGGGATCCTCTTCCAGAGGTGTTTATGTGTTAATCCAGTCTCGGTGAAAACTGGTTAGCGGATCCCACTAAAGGCAGGTGACTTTGAGAACCTAACCACTAGCCTCCTGCTTCTGTGAGATGAAGCTATAGTTCTTCTGCCCTCTGTGTTAGATCACATTATTTCATGCTGGTAAAGTGGGCTAGCTTGAAAACAGGCTGCTACTAGGCAGGTTGTTTCTGTGAAAAGTGATGTTGTTTCCAAAAATATTGCTGTATTCGGAGTAGATTCATTTGCACAAATTGGGTACTTCCTATAGTGATTCTTGCTGTACCTGCCTCACAGACTTGATGTGAGTAGTCAGAATTCTGAAATTCTTTTGGACTAAAGCTGAGTCTCCTTTCCGTTGTTTTTGTCATTGTCCTATTTCACCTCCTGGCCTGAGCGGTCCAAAATGTACTGTATCTTGAAGTTGGCACATATTTTAATAGGACTGTGAAGCCAGTGAAGAAAACTCCTTGGTAATAGTAAGCTCTTTCATTCTTAGAACTGATGATGCCACCAGCTTGGTCCAGCTGTATCACATGCTCCATCCAGATGGCCCATCAGCTCAAGAGGCCAGAGAGCAGGCTGCTGAGGGAATAAATTTAATTAAGGTAAATAGTCTTTTTTTTTTCATACTGGCTGATCTGTGGTGGTAACTGAGTTTAAAAGATTCAGAGGTGGGTCATATTCAATAGTAACCAGACAGATTTGTGAATATGAAACATTTGTGGTCTTGAAAACATCAGTATGATCACAGCCCCCATATTTCCCCATCCTGGACAATGCTCTGGGTAGGGACTAGTATGCTGGAGTCTAGAGAGGTTCAGACAGTGCAGGCAGAAGGCCCTTGTTCTTTGTGGAGTACATGAAGGGCCAAGCTGCATGTGAAGTGGTCAAATCATCAGCAAGACAAGGTAAAGGGCTGGAGGATGTCCCTAAAAGCAGTTTCCTGTGGTGACAGAACATGGGGGTGGGAGGTAGGTGCCAAGAAGAGAAGGCAGAGGTGCTATACCAAGCCTCATTTGTTATCATTTGGGACTACACACTGCTCCAAACCATGGGCTTACATAAATTTTCTGCAAATGCTGAGTTAATATTTCTAGGAGAGGAAGAGGAGGTCATTGTGTAATTCAGTCTCCTCTAATGTGCAGAATAGACATACTCTTGTTGAACTGGCTTATATTGTGGTAATACTTTACCTATCACAAAGTTTACTAAAGATAAAAATGACCAGTGACCACCCTAAGAAGAGAAACTATGGTACTAATCCTGATTTTCAGGGATAAGCCAGATAAAGCAAAATGCTTTTGGACACTGAAGTGAAAAATGAATGTGCTAATTCTCCACATTTCTCTTGAACCTAATGCTTTCACTTTAGTCTAGCAGGAGGTACAGTGTCTTAAAAGAGAACAGCTAATTTGGTGTTTAGAAAGTAATATTGCTTAACTCTGGGATGTTTTCCTGTACATGTATAATTATTGCTTTATAAGCAGGGGAAACATGATATTAATTGGGATTGTTTCCTGTTATAGAAATGTTAATGTCTTAAAACTAAGAACTTTATAAATAGTATGTCCTATTGCTTTAAAAAAAATTTTTTTTAATTTAAACAGGTCTTTGCAAAAACAGAAGCACAGAGGGGCGCATATATAGAATTAACACTTCAAACTTATCAAGAAGCACTCATTAGCCATTCTGCGGCTTCCTGAAAATACTTTAAAGTTATGTATCATTTTATAAAAACTGCCTACTTGTCTCCTTAATATTAAGGTGAATGTTTAAGTTTTAAAATGTCATAATTAAAAGGTACTGATTTATAGTTTTCTATAAAAAAGTTTTGCTTTTAAAATGGCAGATGGTGCCTCTGACAAAAATACAAAGAAAAACTTGTTACCCCACTCACTTTTCTGGGGTGCAAGCAAATAACAATATATTTGAATGCCTGACTATGAATTTCTCTGATGGTGTTAAGACAAGTGCAAAGTTAAAAAAAAGAATAAAAGAAGTACCATGCTTTTCTGTGGTATCAAATAGGTATCACTTATTGGTAATGTAGATGCAGCCTGGCTTTCTGAGATCAGAATAGGTTTCAGGTTTTCAATCTAGAAATGCGTAGCTACTAGACAAACTCTGGATGAGCCTAGCCAAGCTATATAGACTGAGGATAA